TAAAAACACAGTTCAGTTAAGGAATAAGTTTGAAGATGTTTGCTAACCAAAAGTGAACACAGTTCAATCTTATTAAACACATAAACTAATTTCGGATGATTTTAATCCATCTTTTGCTCATCCACGATTTTTACAATTACTAAAATTGCATAAACCTATACCAAACCAAAATATGTTGTTTTGGTAAATTTTTTTATTTAAAAAAAAAATATTTCGAATAAAATAATGCTGATATTAAATTAAGTTGCCTTTTTTCAGAAAGATTCTTCTTGGTGTTGTATATTTGAAATGATTTAGAATAACCAAGAATGGCTTTCTTAAAGACTCAAAATAAAAAAATATTATTCCTAGAAAAAAAAGCTTGAAAGAGTTGAACTAATTGTAAATGGCATTAACTTATTAACCTTAGATTTTATTTACCTGACAGAATGTTGAAAGTAGAAGTAAATTTACAGTAATATAGTATCAAAAATGAAGTAAATAACAATTATCGGTGAGTTTTTAAATCTGGACGCAGCTCAAAATGCGTGTTAACGAAAAATGGACTCAACTCTAAATGCATGTTCACTAAAATGGACACAGGAAGAAGAAAAAAAGCGTCTTTTTAGTTTTCAACTCAAACTTGACATTTAAACGAGGAATTACATGCTTATCTAAACCCTGAGTATTATCCTTAAGAGACAAAATACCGAACTTCGTGGTCGGGATGGCTGTGACAGATGTAACTTTTGAGGTGATTTGTCCGTATTAAACGATTAAGTAAAATTCAAAACTCTAAATTCGTACAACGCAAATTTACAACCACTATACAAATTTATAATACTAGTGGAAACATTGCAAAGAAGAAAAAAATAAGAAGAAAAACTGTGGACATTTAAAACCTATTTTTTTAAAAAAAAATCTAATTTAATGAAATATAGCAAGTGATTCCATGCAAGAGACGATATCACATATATGAATTTATTTAGATTCATTAGTCTATTAATGAACGAACAATACCTTTCAAAGAAGTTTGAAAAACGAAATCAACTGTAATATTAATTTTTTTAACAGCATTTTGAGCTGTGTCAATTTTCGAAAAGAGGTACTATTTCAAGCTGTGCGTCCATTTTTGTGAATACACATTTCCAGGTGTGTCTATTTTATTTTCCTAAACATATATTTCGAGTTGTGTCCGGATTTAAAAACTTAACAGTCTAAAATGAGAGTCATGCAATCTAATCACCATACTTACCATGCAGAAACGTTTTAAACACGGTATTTTTAAGTTCTGTAAGCATTATTAATGTTTATACGATAATTTCCTCATATATAGGAACTCTAGCCTTACACAAAGAAATTATATTATATTGTTGCAACATCCCATTTTTAATAAGTATAAAAACAGTGGTTCATCAGAAGTCTCCAATACGTTTCGATAAAATTGAAAAATATTGGCTATGAATGTTTACGCAAATACGATTCATATTCAATATTCTTCGATGAATGAATTGACAAAGAATTTTCTCACTCAAAACAATTTTCGCATTCAAAACAATGAATTCTATTCCATTAAATAGATCCACGAAGGATAGTTTTTGCGTGTTTAGAAACTACTTTTACTTGTGGGAAGACGAAGCAATAATTTTTAATACTTCGTTCCCATCATTTATAAAAATGGCAACAAAAAAAAGCTATGCAACGAAATTTTAAACTTATTTTAAAGCGGGTTAAAATTTAAACTTAAAGAGATTTTATCCAATAACTTCGACAAAGTTTTTTTGCAAATGGGGAAATGACATAAATAATATGATACTCAGATATCGTTTTAACTTTAGAATATCACGTGGAAAAAATTAATGAAAAACTTTAAATATAAAACATTCTGTTAAAACTGGTTTATCTTTTTAAATATATTTGGAAAAGCTAATTTTATAATAAAATTTCGGTACATATTCTGATTTTAAGTAGCGTAACTACGGGGCAATGTTTTTACTGTGTAGCATAATAATTAAGGACAATTCTACTTTATTTACTGTACATGAAATGTACCACAGCTCAGACTGTACTCTTACGGGCAGTGGTTGGCAACTATTCAGCCGGGCGATGCCCGTATTCTTACTGGAAATTTTTTTACAGTGAAGAATCTAAAAAATTGGAATTAGAAAAAAAAGAAAGGCAGATTCATATTTAAAAAATATAAAGTGAATGCATTAGGTAAATAAAATCAGTTTATTGAGAATTGGTACAAATTAAGTAAAATTTCCAAAAGAAATAGACAATTGAGGAACCAAAAAGAAATCTGACAGAAACTGATGATTTTACTCAAGAAGTAGCATAGTAAATTGTTGTTTATTGGATATTTTGTATGTACATCTTAGATTTAAAATATTTGTGCTTGAAGTTTAAGGCATTATATTTTTAACAACTTTTTCTGGTATTTTTTTTATTTATTTTATTTTAAATCTTAAAAAGTTGTCACTGCATAGCTCAGATAATACATCAGAATATATAATGTGCTATTTAGTTTAGTGCATTTTAAGAAGAGATTAAATTAGTACTAACAATAATAATAAAAAAAACTTACCTTGTAAAATTTTTATGCATATACAAGTGAAGATTTTTTAATCAGCTGCGAAATTAAATGATTAGTTTTAGAATTGAATCAAGAAAACTTTTACTTACATCCAAAGAAAAACAGGACAAGAATGTAAACAAACTTTGAATTCCTTCTGTTAGCAACTAAATCCGCAACAAGACAACTTTTTATCTCCTCCCCACCCCCCTTCTCTTTATTCATGCACACATTCATTGAAACCGGCACCATAACCAGTTGGTCGTCTTACTTTGCCATTTCTATCGACGTACCTCAAGCGAAAAAATAGTGAGATTTTTTTTTAAAACCAGTTTTTCTACCATATGGACTTTCTACACTGTTTGTAAACATAAGTTTGCACATTTGTAAATATTGACCAAAAAGGAAACCCTCGTACCCTATTACTACTATTGCACATTTATCTACTATCATATTTTACTAAATTTATGAAAAAATAATGACGGGCATATTATAAAGATATAGGTTAAAGATAATAAATTTCATACAATTAGCGATTAATGACAGCAAATAAGATCATTGTGCTTTTTTTTTAAAAAAAATTCCAAATAAGAAAGTAGCCTAAAAGTCCATTTTTTAAACTAAAAATATAGATTTTGTTCGAGGTGAAAGCAAGAAGAAACGTGGGGACAGCTGCCAATAAAAAAAAATTGAAAAAAAAAAAATTTCTTAAAAGAATTTAAAATTACAATCCCGTGATTCTGATAATCTTTTAATTGTATTAAGGAAAAAAAAAACCATTTTTTTTGAAAATTTTTTTATACTCTGTAATTATTTTTTTAATAATACCTTTTTTAGGCAATTTCACAACTTTTATTAATTAATTTGAATATTTGCACATTTTCAACACACAACATCAAAATATAACAGTATCTTAAAAATAACAGGAGAATGAGCACCTATTGACAGTAAAACTAACTAACTAACAGTAAAATATCATTTTACTCGGTTAAACTTACCTTTTAATATTTAAAGCATTAAAAATTATATGCTATCATAAAACAGCAGAATTTCGTGTGTTTTATTTATCATAACATTTCCTTTAGTTTTTATTAACAGAAAACTTTATACTTTTATTTAGTTTGCAAAACCAAAATTCTGACCAACACGTTTTCATTACCATTAAATACATATATTATCTGCTTATACTTTAAAGCAATTTATTTTCAAATATTAGAAGAGAAAAAAGTGTATATCGAAGCAAATCATTTCTTAACTTAGTTGGTTAATACATGTTGTTAACAATAATATAAATATTATAACCAATAAAACAACACATCACTTGTTGACAAGCTTATAAAAATAACAAATAAAACACGGTTTACGTTAGAAAAAATAATTAGTAAATTATTACGAGTCGTATTGTACACGTAGATGACGAAAATTACAATCTCCCAATGTATTAGCAATCGAAAGACAATGGCGATAAATACTGGAAAGGAAAAGCATACAGCTTTACTTCTAGTTATTATTTTTTGTTTGTTTAAAAAATAGTTACAATTTTTTAGATTTATTTCTTCATCTAAAAAAGATTATTACAAATAAAAAAAATTTTTTGCGTTTTTAAAAATAAAAAAAATCCTATACAGAAATATTTATAGAAATTGCAATATAAAGAAAACAATAATTTGATAATTAGAATGAACCAGATTTCTATTATTTCAATCAAAGAAATTTTCTTAAAAAAATTAAATAAAGGAACTGTCTCAAAACTATGGTCTTATTCTTGGCGAAGTCTTATTATTCGACAATGGTAAAAATATATATATTTTTTTTTTCAAAATCTATTCTTTCACTTTAGATTCTGATTAAAATGTCTTTAATTAGAAATGAAATAAAATTTATCAAATATTCGAGAACTTAATCATGAAAAATAAGCCGTAAGAAACTAAAATAATTGGCTTTTAAAAACAAAAAACAGTAAAGTTATTTTAATTTTGTTGAAATAAATAAATAAAAAATATTATATAGTAAGAAAAACATCATTAAAAATATTTTTAAAATTATTCAATTTCCTGTTTAATGGCTGCTATGTTTCACGAGAAGTAAAATAAAAAGATTATAAAGAAATAAAATAATGCTGCAATCTCATTCCCGTAGGCAAAGTACATTTTTTAGCAATGAACTGCCTCAAGAATACGAGAGACGCCATTAAAATCTTCTAAGTTTCCAACAAGTGCAATTTCTCAGCCAAGATGGAGCCTCCCCCTCTCCGCTTACCTGTGAATTCCCAGATTTAAGAAAAGCCCCGCAGACATTTCGGGGGGCGGACAAGAGAGAAAAAGGGGAGGCCGCATGCCGATACTCAATTCACTCACCTGTACGGCAACAACACCATCAAAAATAAAAAAGGAAATTCCTTTCCCCACCCCTCGACACACACGCACACACTTTTCCTCCTCCGTGATTTGATGACCTTCGCTATCTCGGTGGGACGGTCCCGTAGCCGTGGCAACGGCGGAACACTACCATTCTGTCATTCATCGGAGGGGTGTTGGGTATCTTACCTGTTGGAATCTTCTCCACAGGATTCCCAGCCACGTCACTTCGCCAAATCCAACCGCGCGCGCTCTTGCATACTTGAAACGTATTCCTTAAGTTCTTTGACATCGCGCTCCACAAAGTGAAGAAAAAAAGCAAAATTATTTTTTTACTTCATCTTCCATTTTGTTATTCCACAAAAAAAGAAAGCGTTAACTCCTCGTCAGAAGATGAGTTGATTCCAAGTTGCGGTTGCTGTGGTCCGAGGATTTGACCATTCCGCCATTTTTTTATTCTCGGACAGGCGCTGTGTCCGGCCGTGGTGTGGTGAGAAAAATCTGAAAGTGTTTTGGTAGCGGCAGTGTAGGATAAGGCAGGCGAGTGCTAAACAGGGTAGACTGGTTCCAGCAGCGAGAAGGTTACCTATGGAATCAGAACAGACAGGTTTTTCGGGTTCGCCGCCGTCCGGTGTAGCAGGTGTAGCCGCTGTTTCACCAAGCGACGATGGGACTAACGGGGAACCGGAGCTATCATCGACCCCCAATGTCGAAAACAGGTAAGTCTATCCCTTACATTTATTTATTTTTCATTTTTGGATATACCAGTTATGAGATATTTGTTGTGCATGGGGGGTGCCGGGGCGATCCTTAGACGAGGGGGTGCTGCAAATTCCAGTGCATTGGCGCGAAACGGACAAGTTCCAAAAAGTGTCATCATTCCAAACTTGTTTTTTTTTTTAGTCATGCATGATGATTTAAACTGGATGTAACGTAATCAAATAAGCATGATTTCACTATTTCTTTATTCTACTTAATTTATTTATTTTGCTGCATATCAAAATAGTGTGAAACCATCTTATCCTTCATTGTTTCTGTTTTATTTGCAAACAAATGATCAGACAGTTTTTTTTAATTTTTTTTTTACGGAATATGATCGTTGCTATCATTTGATTTATTGATAGATATCGTATCTCAGTGAAAGTTCTCCCGAAAACTTATTTTTATTTCACTATCACGAATCTTGATCTTAGTTTGTTATGCTGTGATATTCATCAGTTAGTAGGCAGAATTATTAAGTCTTGTGACAACAAACTGAAAAATGAATCAGCTTCCTCCTACTCATTTATCATTGTAATTATCAGTTAGCAAGTTGTTGATTTTAAATAATTTTTACTTTAAAGTCTGCAGACTATGATGATCTCATAAATTATCTGTGATGTTTTATCGCTTTTTCTTGTGTATTTCGTTTTATGCTTAATCATGTATCAACAATGTTTAAAATGCATACACTTCTCATTTTTTGTAATTCTAATGTATATTACTTTTGCTTACATTTAGAAACAATTGTTTAAGGTAAAATCTTTTCCACATAGATAAGTTTTGGGATAGATATGTTTCACATTCAATTTACCTGCAATGCTTTTCATTATTTAATAATTAGGTATAGAGCTTCCTCTGTTTTTTCCTTATTTTAAAATATACTTTTTTTAATACAAATATTTCATAGGGAAAAAAAATCATGATTTTTCAGTAGGATCAAGTAATTTAATCTTCGAATTTCTATTAATCATGAGGTTCTTTTTCCTAATATGATAGCTATAATTTTCATTTGTAACTGAAGAGTCTAAAGTGTTTGAAAAAAAATAAAAACAATATTTTGAAGATATTTATATCCCAGAGAGGTAATAATTCAAGTTTGATTAATGATCGATATCTCCAGTATCTCAGTCTAGTAATACATTACTAGAGTCTTTTTTTCCAACTTGTCTTCAATCTTTTGGAAAGCTGTTTATGCTTACAGATAGTCAGCATTTATATTCAGAAGTTTAGAATTGTTAAAAAAAAGTATACTTGCTGAAAGTTTCATATTGCTTCCATAATTGAAAAAAGTTAGTTGTAGTAAAACACTAACAAACTGTAATAGAATGGTTAAAACCAGTTAAAATTTGAATATAGTCTGCACAATATTATACATACTCAGTGTTTTGTGTTTCATTACTTTTGTTAATGCTCTGCAAGTAAATTAAAACTTTGAATGAATTAGAAAATAGTGCTATTGAAAAATTTATTTTTTTTGTTCCCATTACTGTTTTTATAATAATTACTAAACTTAACAGAAAAATGAGTGACTTGTTGTTTTATAGTCGGTCCCTAAAAAAGGTGCAGGTTTCAATTGTAGTATACTGATCTGTTTTACACTGAAGAATATAATGTTTTCATTATGCATAACAGTAGTTCTGGGTGATGATTTTAATTTTTTGAATGAACACACTCAAAAAACTTAGTTTAACACTGCTATGGTTTTTTTCAAAATGCACAAATATTTAGATTCAAAAACCTGGATTTTCCAGCCAAGTGCTGATTTCCGCTAATAAATGATCTGCTTTGTATGTAAATTTATGCTTTGCAAATATCTTTCTATCGTTTCTACATTTTCCACTATTGATAACTGAATTTATATCACCAAGCGTTTTAGTAAATTCTTGATATACGACTATTTTAAATTACTTTTGCGCAAATCGTGCACGAAAACTGTTTGATAGTTTTACATTTTGATAAATTTTAGGAAGCTACTGGACAGCTTCAAAAGGAGTTTAAAAGTTTTAAAAAGAGCGGTAATCGTTTCACAGAAAATTTAATAAAATAAATCAAGGAGGGAAAGTGTGAGAAATAAATTTTTTTTCCCTTTTTGGGTTTTTTTTCTTCAAGAAAGTAGGCTCAATAATAATCCAAATTTTTTTTTCTAACTTTGAAATCTTCAAATAATTTTGAAATAAAATATAGAAAAATCAGGTAATCATGTGTTAAAAGATTTTCGTTGGTTCTTACTCAAATGTTGGGATTTCAGATTTTGCAGCACAACATTTTGTCTCCCTCCCCCTTTGAGAGCATTTTTGTGAAAAATTATTTTAAATGTCTTTTACTAGGATGTTCAACCATTTTCGGACAAAATACAGTGTTGGGGCTAGCATTAATTACAATGTAATTATAAAAATATGTGAACATTTAGATTTTGTTTGAAAGTAATTTTCATGAATTACAAAACCATAATTAGTCTTTTGCCAAACCGCAAATAACAAAAATATTTAATTTTTAAAAAATTTAAACAAATATACCTATTAAGTTACAAAGCAAATTGTGATAAATTTATAAACATATGATAAAACGGTAACTTAAATCTACAGTAGACTGAAAGTTAACTTTCACTTCACTATTATTCAGAAGGAAATTTTTTATTTATGCAGTTTGAGGTGATGACTGTTGCTATTGTTTATCATTCAACAATAATTATATTTCACTTCAAACTCTGAAGTCATTGCATATATGAAACTTTCATAACGAAATGGTCATATATTAATTTTAGAAAGGGGATAGACTAGATCAATGATTTTCTGTTCCAAATCATGATGAAAAGGGATTCTGTTCCTATTTTTCTTTTACATTCTTATTAACATTTTAGACATTTGAATGACAAAGTTAAAGGACTTTGAGAGGCAACTTTTGGCCTGCAGTTCATAGGTTAAACTTCCTTTTTAGATTTGCAGTTAAATAGGTTGTGCATTTTGCAAAATGTAAAATCAAACTACTTTTACTTTGAATGTAAGAATTTAAACGGATAAAGAAGACTTTTTTTTCAATTCTTCTAACTCTTACCACCTACAATGACCTCCCGAGGCTCCAGCTTTAAATAATGCGATTATTACTTTTTGAATTACGTAGCTTTAATGAAAGTAAATTCATAAAAAGACGATTTTTTTTATATTCAAGTTTAATATTTATTAAACTTTATTATTATTTTTGAATAATTATAGATAAAATGAAATATTACAATTTTTTCATATCGTTAAATATCTTAATATTGTATTTCTCGATTATAGGATTGAGTTAATCTCTCAAACTGTGTCATGAAACTAACTCAATTAGTCTCAAATTGTAAGACATTTACTTGCCTTAAAACTGTAACCAAATTTCTTAACTTTCTCATATGTTTTCATTGTAATTAAAAAAAAAGAATTGATCAATGAGAGTGAGCCCAATTATATTTTTGGGAAGGCATACAAACTAAAGAAAAGTAAATGATTAAAAAAAAAAATTTAAATGGCATAGTTGCACCAATTGTTGTGCAATAATTTAGATGCTGCGTCTCAAAAGCCTATCTAAAATTTTGAGACTAGTTCCGCTGTCAAAAAAGTAAATAAAGAAGAGAAGGAGCACTCCAAATCAGACATGACAGGAAAAGCAATACACTCATGGTTTTACGCTATTGTATTAATATGGAAAAATATAAGACCTTCATGTAATGTTCAGTTCATTCATTATTACAAGTTTAACCGATACTCTTATTAAATTCGCATCAGTATTATTATTAATTTTTTTTTTACAGTGTTATATCATATTTTTAAAATTTGGTCGTAACTGTAAACATGAACACTGAACATCGCATTTAAACTTTTTATTAAATTAAAATAAATCAGTAAATAGAGAGTGAAATTTATGCACAGTTACTGCATGTCACTTTATGGACAAAGGTCAAGCTTTCGAGGCAATTTGATGTTATTTCGCTCTTGCAATATTATATATAAAAACTGAATATTGTGAAAACTTCTCAGAAAGTTTTCACGTCGAGGTTGTCAGAATTTTAATACATATTTAGTTTCGAATAAGGCTATTTTCATTTACTTTGCATCCTACAGTTTTATTTTGTAACATATAAGGCTAAAATTCGATTTCAGTGTCTGAAATAACTTTGTAAAGCACTTCTGAAAACGTACGCGAAGACAACTTAATCGAGTATAAATTTCCCGGAATGGCAAAACGCAAATGTTTCAGCTAATTCAAACTAACACTTTGTGTCTACTAAATAAACAATGGATAAAGGCAAACGTCATAACGTTGTCAAAAAGCGTACCTGCGCTTCGAGAGGAAGAAGCATAAAAAGAAAAAAAAAGGTTGAAATCATCAACACCGGATTCACAGTTGACGAACCATCGGAAAAAGCTTCCCGCTTAGTCAGGTGCATTTACCGTATAAAGCTATGCATCAATTCGTATTTCGAGAAATTCATTTCAGTAGGTGATATTTTAGGGCATTTATACATAGTAGTGGTTTGAAGATTTCCAGGAAAAAGAACACTCAGTATAAATAATGAAACGTCAGGATTTCTTTGTTTTTCGTATTTTCTGCTTCTTTGAGATGTGTTTTGTGTTCAATTATCTCCTATAGAGGAAAGCGGAAAGGTTAGATTTACACTCTGTTACGTAGGTCGTGTTTTTATTATTATTATTATTTTTTTTTTACATAAGCTGGGAAATACGCATGCAAATGAAGTGAATGCATACGATATAAGTAAATAAGATTTTTTAAAAAATCGGTGTTTTTATGGAATTAACATTCTTTTTCTGAAAAGACTGTTGCAAAAATGGAGGAAAAATATATTTTAAAAAAAGAAGAAAAATTAAAAAGAAAAAGCTTAGAAAAGCCAGTAAACGAAATGAAAAGATGTAACTTAGTTGTCGGCTCCCACGATTATATCTGCAAATTCGAGTGTTTTTTAATA